GTGTCTTTACATGACATGATAAAAAATATAAACACTGCTGCCTGGTGCCACCCATGGAGAAGGCAACTTAAAAGAGCATGACGTGGTGTCCTCATCCTTCCAGGTCTGGTGCTATGTAACTCTGGCTCTTTCCAAGTCAAAATAGCCATGAAAGGTCAACGTTTTGAATAGATTCAGGACACTGAGATAGCCAGGATAGTGCAACTGAAGACACTTAGGAAAGAGGATTCCAGAGCTGCTACAGAAAGTGGCAAAGGTAGGATGAGTGGGTTCAAAGTGAAGGGGTATTTTAGGGGGTGAATTAATAGCAGTCTCTTTTATTGTAGTAATTTTTTAAAATTTAAGATACAGGTACCTTGTATCTTTGCTTCCAATTTTCTGATTTTATCACTTGAAAGTCTGCATGCCCTGAATTAATGTTGTGTTGATCCCAGGCGTTTCTTTTGTAGCAAGTGGGAAATCAGGTATTCCACTTGATGTACTGTTCACTCGAAGGATTTCCTATTATCCCTGCCTTTGAGGCTCCTGTGAATAAGCTTGCTTAGCTGGCTGTCACAGGCACACTTAAATGCACAGCTAAGTGGCTTTGGGAAGTCGCCACATAACTTTATTTTTGGAGAAAAAAAAAGTAAGTATCAGGATTAGCTATGGTGAGGCTCTGGATCACCTAGTGCTGCAGTCAGGTCATGGTGCCTTCCTGGCCCAGGTGGGGCTATTCCTGGTGTATAGTGGAATGTGGTGTGCACATGAGTTTCACCCCGCTTGGGCATGCTGCTTCCTCGTTCAGGGCTCCTCAGGCAGGACCCGTGTTTGCACAGATTGGGATCAAACCATTAGCTGCTTCCTGAGAGAAGAACAGTCAGTGCAAAAGAGTGCATGATTTTACCTTGGTGTCCCAGGTCTGCATGGTGCTCGCTGGATAGGGCTGTCCACAGGCTCCTTGGCCCATCTGATAGCTGTACCCCCTGGTCCCTTTGGTCCTGCAGGCTCTGGCAGCCGAGGCAAGATGGATTGCAGCCTGCCTTAAACTTGGCTTCATTTGGAAATGCAGTACACATTACATATAGCCAGGTTCCTTTTCCTCAGGGCTCTTGATTTAGGAAAACCTCAACTGAAATATCTCATTGCAGGCACCTGTACCTACTTTTGGCACGTCACACCAGCTGGTGTCCTGGTTGGGAAGAAGGTGGTGCCCTGAAGTCAGGACACTTGCATCAGGGTTCACATGAGGTGCAAAGTGTGGGGAGAAAGAGGACCACAGAGTGAACACCTGCACCAGGGGCCAATAATGGAGGGGGTGGAGCTGGGAGAGGAAGCGGGTGCGGGAACCTGGGGAGACTAGACCTTAACCTGAGGTTGCACAGCTGAGACGCACCTGCAGGGGGCGCCCAGGGCTGGGCACCCTGCTTTGCGTATCCCCTGGCCCTCAGCTCCACAGCGAGGGCTCCTTATGCTCACTCTCAAGAAGGAAAATGGGGAGGCTGGGGTGGCCCTGTGGGGACAGGATGGAGAGGGAATGGGGTGTCAGCTCCAAAGGGATTGGCCCTTCGACCTGTGTTCCCTCTGGATTATGAACTCCAGCTGGCTGCAGCTTCCTTTATATTTCTGACCTGGAGGCACAGTTCCTGGAAAGGGATACTTCGAGGGTAATGAAGTGACCCAGCCCTGACAACCCCGGGTGACTTTGTGCCAGTCCTTTCTAATCTTAGGTGACAGTTTTCTGCATCTCTAAAAATGCACTGGAGGGGACGCTCTAACATCACAGGTGGACATGCCTTATAGATGTGAGGGTCACTGTGCATAGGACACTATTGCACCCTTCAGGCTTGTTTTCTCCCAGACGCAGTTGACTCCGATTCACCTGAACTTAGAAACTCAGCCATGGCGCCTTTTACATTGGGTCTTACTTTCTGGCTGATTACTTTCTCGGCTGACCTTGAACTTTAGTGTGATTTTTCTAGAACCTCATCACATCCAAGGTCACATGATGTCGTGAGATTTTTTTTTTTTTTTTTTCCCTCTTAACAAGTTTCTGTTCTCATCCAACTTTTCTAGAGCTTTCTGGTAGCTGCGGTCACTTGGCCTTCAGTGTTGCACATCAGACTCACCTTCGCCCTGGCCTCGTCTGCCCTCTCACGGCTGAGGAGGGAATAGCCTCAGGTTTAGAGAAAATCAGAGGAGAGACGCAAGCCTAGAGCGGCAGCAGCCGCAGCAGGAAGCGGAGTACTGGTACTCATTGAAATAATTAAAGGATTATACCTTTCTATTTGTATTTCTTCTTTTGAGTTCTTATACTAAGGAGACTATACGATATTTACACATCTGTGTCTGGTTTATTTCACTTATGAGTATATGTTCAAGTGGCATCCACTTCAATATAAAGGCTTTGAGTTTATTAAAGGAACTTGAATCTAGCACGTTCTTTGCTCAGTTACTTAGTTCCGGGTGAAATGGAACTTTTTGCAAATGTCTGCCTCGCTTGGTTCGTTTCATTTAAAAAATGTTTTTATGAGTACAAGTTTGTAGCACATGATGGTTCCAGTCATTTATAACTAGAACATGCATAGGACATCTTGATTCCTTTTATGTCCTCCTTTCAAAACGACAGCAATGTCTGTCTTTAACCTTCTCAACAGTGTGATTTAGGGCGTGCTCTCCCGGAGTTCAGATGTGGCATAGCTAATAAAGCCAGTGCACTCTTGGTTAGAGGGCAGGTGGCTTTGCATGATATGTTCATTTAATTTCTTTTGTAATATTCAAGGTGTTTTTAGATTGTGTGACATTAGGTGGCAAAGAGTTGGCTTCTCAAGCTTTCACTAATTGTTACAAGTAAATTAAGAAACTGTAAGTACCGTGTATAATTTTGTAAGCCAAGTTGGAAGGTGAAAACACTGGCTCATGTGCATCTGGGTACTGGGTCTATATGAAGCCCAGGTCCCTTTTTCCATAGCTTTGGTCCCAGAACCTTGTTCCTGAGGTCATAGGCTTCTGCACCGGGCCACTTGTTGCCCAGGCCACTTCCTGGCCCTGCACCATCGGAACCATTTACTATGCTGACAGGTAGAGTGCAGCAGGTAGGAGAAAAGACCGCATGTAAAGACAGGATGGAATTCTTCTTATCTAGGTGAGATTTACTTCTGAAAATAAAGGAGACCAGAGACTTGTGCTGATGCTGCTTCAAGTGTTTGAAAGAGATTTTGAGAAGAGAGTTTTCCCTGGCACAGATTCTGTCGCAAACAAGGATCCATCCCCATAAATGTGGAGTGTAAGACACTGCTATCCCAAAGACTGCTCATGTCTTTTGTACCACCAGGTACATTCACCGCCTCTCTGTGCTTTAATTTCTTTAGCCCTAAAAGGCTAGAGCAATCCCAGTTGTTCTGCCCTCACAGAACTCCCCAAGGTAAATGAATTACCTGAAGTGTTCAGAGCAGACTTCAGCTCGTAGACAGTTCTGGAAGCTCTGCAGCTGCTGGCTCTACCTGGTGACAGTGGTGGCCATGCTTCCACATAATTGCCCCGAGTGACTCTGGTTGTATCTGTAAACAAAAAGAGAGTATTAAAGAAAAAGAAATATTATAGAAAGAAATTCCTGGAAGATGCAAACCTGCCACTAGTGGAACAGTGAAGAGATGTGTTACCAGATCCAAGTCAGTCCTTCAAGTGTTGGTCCCCAAGTGTTTTGAGCATGGTTAGAGTAAAGAATTGTAAAACACCCTGATTATTGACCTGGAGATGTGCCTTTGGGTGCACAGATGTTGCGCGTTTAAAAAGCCAGCCATAAACTTGGGGCCTTGGTTCTGAAGAGTAGACATAGTTGTTAAAGCTGGAACCTTTGGGGCCCCCACCACCAGGTCTCCGCAGCATTCAGCACAATGTTTGATAAGCTGCAGACTCTCAGTTAGAAGATGCTCCATAGTTAATTGCAAACTTGCCCACCTACTTAACAATGAATTTGCGTCTTACAATCCTCTCCTGCAACTTCTGACAAACGCTTTAGCTGGCACTTATCATTTGGCTTTGTATCATTCTGTCCATTTTATTGTGCTTGAAATTCCTACAAAGGGCCTGTCATAGGATTTTCTATATTTAGTATTGTTTCCAGGTGGGAAGAATTGCTAGTGTAAAGGCAAGCCTGCTCCAAGCACACTTTGTGGTGTTGGATGAGAGCTTGCTTGCGTGTTAGAGCTGTAGGGACCCTGTCGCTGCCACCTAGACACAGAGCACAGCACCTGGGGTGGAGTGGAAACTCTTCAGCTGCCGAGGAGCGAGAAACGAGCTGCGTAGTGCCTTCGCCTCCTTGCACAGCTGGAGAAACTGACTGTGTTTATTTGTTCATAGCCACGCAGGGCCAGAGGAGGAGCTGGAGTGACTGCTCCTTGAGGTCAGCCTGCTTTAACTTGTGCCTTTCCCATCTAAACTGCAACAGGAAGAGGATTTAAAATGTATTCTTTCAATAACTTTCTTTTTCTTTTTGGGGGAGCCAGGGATTGAACACAGGCCCTTGCACTTGCCAGGCAAATGCTTATTCTACTGAGCTATCTCCCAGGTCCCTTGGATAACTTTTTTAAAAGTATGTGCATAAATCAAATTCTTAGTTCAATATGTCATATTGCAAGATGGTAATTCTAGGAATCTGTTCATATCAGGAAAAATGTTTGGCAGGAACTGGTGTAGGGGGGAACAACCCGCTCGGGACCCCCTCCTGTTCCTCTCTTGGAAGGAGCTCTCTTTCCCTCAATAAATACATTGTGCTCATAAAAAAAAGAAAGAAACTGGTGTAAAGTTTGTGTGAGTGACTTGTCTAGGTGTGTCTTTCACACCATTGTAAATTTTATCCTCTGTTATAAGGGCTCCCCATAACTACAAAAGACTTTCACTGCAAAGTGTCTCTCTCAGACATAACCCATCTCCTACTTTTCTGTAGCTCTAACCTTAATCCTAATCCGAACCCAAGAAATGTTGATTATTGTATTGATTGGTCTTCTGCTACTTTACAGGAAGGCAAAAGGGAGTCCAGTTCATGTGGTTGTCTGAAGGGCCCCAAGCTGTCTGAAATCGGAACGATTGCCTGGATGATCACACTCTGTGACGCCCTCCACAACTTCATCGACGGCCTGGCCATCGGTGCGTCGTGCACACTGTCTCTCCTGCAGGGCCTGAGCACGTCCATCGCCATCCTATGCGAAGAGTTTCCTCATGAGCTAGGTAGGAGGAGGCCTGTGGGGAGTGGGACCTTTCAGGTGACAACTTCACATTCTGTGGTGCCCAAGATGAAGAAGCCTTGCTGGGCAGGGATGACTGCTTTTGAGCTCATTTCCCACTGGAAAACCAGCCCAACTTTTGTGGCATTTTCTTCTTCTAGGGGACTTCGTGATTCTGCTGAATGCGGGGATGAGCACCCGGCAGGCCTTGCTGTTCAACTTCCTCTCCGCCTGCTCCTGCTATGTGGGGCTGGCTTTTGGCATCTTGGTGGGCAACAATTTTGCCCCGAATATCATATTTGCACTGGCTGGGGGCATGTTCCTCTACATTTCTTTGGCAGATATGGTAAGACACTTAGACATTTGTTTTGTTTAATTGAAAACTTAGTCGGGAGTTAGGAGTTACACAGGTTAAGCCTGCTGCTTCTCTTGGTTGGGCTTGCTGTGGGGTCTGGGGTCTTCCACTGTCAACCCACCCTGTTGAAAGCCTTTTGGATTAAACTAAAGCTAACCTACAAAAGTCAGGAAGATTAACATTTACCAGTGCTTAATTGGTTCAATATGCATCTGGATTTCTGTCATAGCAGCCTTTATGTCTGTATTTATGAGTGTGTGTGTGTGTGTGTGTGTGTGTGTGTTTCCACTAGTGTGTCTCAGAGGAAAATAGCTTGTGTATTTGTAAGTGAGTCATGGACAGCCTTGCAGAAAATAATGATTGCTATTATATGAAAATCAAACATTTTTTGCCTACTTGGAACTGGAGTTCTTTATTTTTTTTGTTTGGTACTGGGAATCGAACTCAGGACCTTGTGCCTGCCAGGCAGGTGCTGAGTCACTGAACTCTATCTCTAGCCTGGAACTGAAGTTATTAAACACATAATTTAGTAAATTTTTTCATCTTGACCCTTAGCTCCACCTGTAACTGGCCAGCTCTGTGGGCTGTGCTATGCAGTGGTTGTGGCAGCTAGGACTTCCTCTCCTGGAAGCACTTTGTCTTCACAGAATCCAGGCCTCACGCTGTCTTCACTCGAAGTGTCCACTTGTCCTTTTCAGTGCCCAGAGTGGAATCCACTGGTGTTGCTCAGTTTAAGGGAACACTACTAACAAATGGTGCCACTTTGCTTACAGAACTTTTGTTTTTTCTGGCTGGTTTCACAGCCTCACGCATTTTACCCTGGCAGGAGTTTTCCCAGGTTAGTGGGTCAACTGGGCCCTGGAGACCTCCAAGGTGTGTGGCCGCAATGCGCCCCAGCATGCATAACTAATTGCTCTGCGCTGTGCCTCGTGGAGCCCACATCCTTCTGTCTCCTATGTGGCCAGATGGGACCCATCTCTGAGAGAGGGTGGATTCTAGATAAAATGCCTAGGGTTTTAAGTCTTTTCACTGTGATAATGTTATAGTCTTTGATTTTAGAATAATGCACAGGTTTATTTCCAAGCCTTATGGTGATTTTGTAATAGGAGGTCAAGTAGAAAGAAACAAATTGAAGAAAAAGAAATGAAGTGCAGGATTGCTTCTGTCAGGTACACAATCTTTGTGCAGAGTAAGGGACTACAAATAGTGCTACAATGCTATGAAAGGGAAGAGCAGTGTATGAGATGAGGGGACGCTAAGAAAATCTAGCAGGACAGGCTAAGGGAGGAGCTGCAGGGAGGTGCCGTTGAAGGTGAAATCTGAAGGGCTTGGTCCATTGAAGAACTGGAGGCAGAAGAGTTCGAGTTGAAGTTGTGAGGGTGTGGACCCTGGGGAAGGAGTGAGGCTGGTGCCTGTGGGATCCTGAAAGGATAGTGTGGTTGGCATGTGTGCGTGCGCACGTACACACACACACACACACACACACACACACACACACACACGCCTTGGTGTGCATGTGTGCAACAGACTGAGGTCTGCCCCACCCTGCTGGTGAGGGGCTCAGTGGAGCCATCTGCATCCCCTCAGTCCTTTGAAAGTGCCGGACTCAGCTTGCGCTCAACAGATAAACTTCCCCTACAGCTGCCTGCGGTGACTATTTTATGTTTTGCCACCAGGTGGCAAGCGTTGTCTAACAGTGGGCCTTGCTCTAGTTCCCAGAGATGAACGACATGCTCCGGGAGAAGGTGACAGGGAGGAAGACCGACCTCACCTTCTTCCTGATCCAGAATGCGGGGATGCTGACGGGCTTCACGGCCATCCTGCTCATCACCTTGTATGCGGGGGACATAGAGCTGGAGTGACGGGATGCAGACAGCGGTGTCCTTAACGAAGGCATTTTACAAAGCAAAACATCTCCAGAGGGATTTTTACGCTTACTTAGTTAAAAGATGCTTTTGTTTTTAAATGTAGGTCAAGAAAACTGATTATTGGTTTCCGGTCTGTGAAAAAGACTCTTATTTGCTGTTAAAATTCTTCAAAAGATATTCAGTGTTGGTCTGGAATGCCGAGCATATGAGGTGTTCAGTAAATGCCCAGTTTCCAATGGCTCATGCACATTAGAAAATCACCAGGAACCAAGACACATGCATTTTACAATCATGTCGACTGACAGCAAGACACAGGGAAAAGCAGAAGATAGGTCATTTGAGGCTTTAAAACTCAGTACGGTCAGTTTCAAAGTGGTTATCTTTCAATTATTTTGTTCCAGTGCTTCAAGAGCAGGTACATGAAAATGTGGAAAAGAAACAAAACACACAACAGAGATATAAATGATTCCGTGGCCTCAGTGAACCCAAGAGAGAAAGATTATGCTCAGCATTTGTTCTGTTTTGTATTTCCATCAGGAACTTGTAACATGGTGTTAAAAGCCTTCCAAAATAAATTGAGCTAAGAAATCGATAAAGACTGGTGAGCCCTAGTAGGTTTGGGGTTAGAAGTTTCTCTTAAGTCAACCCCAGCAAATATTGGCAAGGGCTGGCACTGGGATGGAGCTGTGAGCACGCCGATCCACCTCAGCACAACGCAGAGGCCGAGAGAAGTCACCCTGGGGGCCTGGGGCCTGCCTTGTGACAGGGAAGAGTAAGCTGGTTTGGAGAGAGAAATTGAATGTAATTTTAAGTAATTTACTTTTAAAGATGAATATAATTAATTAGTAGAGAATATTTCAATAAATGCAAACACCAGTGGGGCCGTGGTGTGTCAGGGACAGGTGACCAGGAAGCACGCGCTCCTGTGGCGGAGTCGACGTCTTCTGTATTCAGTCTACGTTTTTCCAGATGGTGTACTCTGGGGAAAATAAGGCACCCCTGGGGTTATTTTTCTACTGTTCAGAGAAGACAGAGCCTGTTTACCCAGATAATAGAAAATGAATGTAAAATTACACATCCTAATCTCAGTTCACACTCCCAAATTACATAAAGCAAGATAATTTGGCAGGCAGGAAGGTGATCGATAAAAGCCAATGATCTCAGGAGCTGCATTTTCCCATGGACTGCAGAATGTTCTCACATAGCGTAATGCAAATTTTGATGAACATTTAACATGTATGTTAATGTGTATCTCACCTTGTGATTTCAAGTGTAAAAAATTGTTGTTGCTTCACCAGTAGTAAACACCTGTGAAAGCGTGTATTATGCCATGTATTATTCATTTAATGCATATCTTTTTTTTTGAGTGATTATCATGTACCTGGTGTTGTTGGGGAGAGAGAAAATTTGGAAATTGGTGATATGTTTATTTTAAGAGAACACTTAGCAAACAACACTACAAAGACAGTTACTGATTTCAAGTAGCAGAATCTATTTTTATCGTTGCATCTTTTTTTTTTTTACATTCCATCTTACTAAGTAATCTTTGCCTTTCTAAAGCATGTGTTATATGTCTTGTTTAAGAAACTCCTTACAGCATTGCATTAAAAGGAGAGACTGATGACCTCTCACGGTGTGTGGATTGTCTTGACACTTCTTCTCACTTACCTTTGGTTCTTTCCTCAACTGTGAGGACAGAGGCAAAAAGGAAATTGCACCTAGTGGAGGTGACAGCTGAGTGCAGAGGTTGGCTGCGGAAAGCCGTGGTCATGTCTGAGTTATCCTTGATGGTTTTATTAAAGCTAACACAATACTCTCAGTCAGTGTGTCTCATGCCAGCACATTTGGTATGCCAGGCAAATCTTCTATAATGTTTAAACTTTGATGATGCTGGCAGGAAAAACCAAAAACGAATTCAGAGTTTGGGGTGCAGCTCAGCAGTAGAGTTGCTTCCCTGGCGTGTGGAGGCCACGGGTTCCATCCTCAGCATCACAAACCAAAATTGACTTCAGTGTGTCATATATCGGCTCATATACTTTTGTTTTCATTGTAAAACTTCAAAAAGTGTTTCTGAATGGACAGCACTTATTAACTACTGTATCAGACTGTCATTACCACAATAAGCTGGCCTAACAATCCACTTAAAGGAGGGTTAGCCATGCAGGGAACCTCAGTAAGAGGTTGAAGAGGAGTGGAGATGAGGCAGCTCTCAGCTTCCTTGGTTGTCCTCCTAGGGGCTTCTGAGGGCTACCTGAGTGGCTCATGAGGGCCTTCTCTGTGGCCACACAATCCCAAGTGAATGAAGTCAGTCTGAGGACTAAAGACCTGTACTTGCATGTGTAGCACAAGAAAGCATGGAAAATCCCCAGAGCAGACATGATTCCACCACAGAGCTGTGAGTGGAGAGCAGAAGGTTGCTCATTAGGATGGGGACAGGGTCTTTCATGGGCAAAGGGTTCAGAACATCAGGAAGAACTTCTAATGTTTTATAACAAGGTAGAGTGACTGAGGTTGGTTACAGCTAATTGAATATTCCAACATGGTTCGTAGGATTTTGCATATTTCCAGCACAAATGATAAATGTTTGATGGGTAGATGTATAAATTACTCTGCTCTGGTCATTACACTGGTATAATGCACTGAAACTGAGCCAGGGAAGTAGGGCCTGAGCAAAGCAGCCAGGTAACTGGATGTTACCTGTCAACTGTGGAGACCTGTCAGTCACAGAGACCTGTCCATCACAGAGAACGCTGCCTGAATGTTCTTCTTGGGACCAAGCCAACCCCTGTACCTGCTATGATCTTCTGGCACAAGATCAAAAGGGCTTTTGATGGGACAGCCTAGATCTCCCATCTGAGGGGCTCCTGGCTGCTTGAGCCTTTCACGGCTGCCTGCTGTTCTGTGTAGGGGGATCTTCTCTCCCCACCTGACCTGGCCCTCGCTCACTCTGCACAGCACTGCTCTTCAGAGCACCTTTTCTTCCTGAGCACACTTGCTTTGCACTTCTGGCTTGTCTCCTTTTGTCCTAACTAAATGCTGAACTTTCACATCCATTGATTGGAGAATTGAACATACTTCTGATAACTACTAACAGCCAGTAACAGAATGTCGCATGGCACCCATGGTATGTCCAGCTCTTGTGTGCCAGTTAAAAAGGACAGGAATGAGGAGAAGGTGGTTCTAAGAGGATAGGAAGGGGATAGGGAGGGAGGGGTAAAGGGAAGGAGAAGGGTCAAAATGCTACACGCATCACTATTCTGTGTGCACCATGAAAATACAAGAGGAAGAAGAGGAAGAAGCAAAAGGAGAAAGAAGCCTCTCAGATCAGAGCATTGCTTGTGCTTAGTTTGTGTTGTCAAAGGCCATGCTTGTGTTTAGCTTGTCACAGGTTGGTACTTTTGTACATAGAATGATCAAGAGATACTACAAGAACTAAATTAAAATGAAGATGTAGAAAGCCCAAACTAGTGAATACGCTAGACACACAACCGATCTCTCCTGTGCTGTAAATGCTAACCCTCCACTATGCACCTGGCACTCAGGTTCTTTGTCCAGTACCCCCAACAGATGTTCTGGGCCTGGCATCCATGGACAGATTCCTCACCTGTGGTGCTGATCAATGCCTCTGGGTCCCCTTGGCCTCGGCCAGCCACAGCTCTGCCATCCTTGCGCCGAGGTTCACACAGCAGCTCTTGCTCTTTTCTATCAGTGACCTGGTTCGGAAGTGACCCAGCCCCATGTTAACCCGAGCTGCTGGGCTCTTGGTTTCCTGTGGCAACTTGGACTGGTCATCAGGGAATGCTTGACCTTGGAAGGGGTGACTGGAAATGTGACAGGAAAAAGACAGGAAGATGGGTGCGTGGACCTGGAGTTTGCACTGTCTGGCAGCAATGTGGAGTTTAGACAGGGCAAGGCAGTTACAGCCCCATGGTGAATGATCTTAGGTCAATAGATGGAAGTGGGTTAGAGTAATTTGTATGAGAAGACTTCACATCGAGAAAAATGTCCAGGATATTTTGAGAGATTGGCTGAAAGTGGATTTACTCCTGGCAGGTAGAAATCTCTTGAATAGATGAAAGATCTGCCTGCCTAACAACGCTTCCTGAGCATTCAATATCACTTGTTTTAAAATGGGTCAATTTCTAGGTGGAGGTGATATATTTTCGCAAGTGCTTCCCAAGTAAAACTTGTGAATTTCCCATGGAGATGTGTCTGTGGGCCATTTTCCCTTCCCCAGTTGTGCATCTATGTGGGAAAGCCAGCTTATACCCACGCATCGGAGAGGTTCAGATGCCCCCAGCTGAAGTAGCTTCTCCCTTGGGGGTCACTGTGTGTGGTCAACTCCATGGTGAGCTCTTACAGTTCGGTGAGAGCGTCTCAACGTGTTAGGAAACACTGATCCTAGTATCTGTGGAGAAAGGCACATCCGAGGCACCTCTTTCCTTTATCTTTACTTCTTGAAGTTCTATAAAAGTTTTCTTTGTCTTCATGGGTGCTAACTCTAATTTCCCTGGTGCATGTGAGAACAGGTGTTGGCAGTGTCCTAGTGAGCTGCTGGCCCTTCATGATGAGAATGGCTCAGTGTTTTAGAATTAGGGACAAGGGTGATGACAGGGTATGAGGTAGGCTGTCCTGTGACTGCAAGGACAAGAGTAGTGACAATGGCAAAAACCACTGCCCAGAATGACAGGGGATTTGTTGACTTTTTCTGCTTACTGTGAGGTCTGCTCTTATTCTTTTTTTAAAAAATTATTTATTTATTTATTTATTTATTTTGTACAGGGTCTAGCTACACAGTTCAGACTTACAGTGATTCTCCTGTCTTAGCCCCCCCCAGTGCCCAGGGTTCTGGGGTTGGCATGGCATGCAGTACTGGGGATCAAACCTGGGTCCCTGCACTTGCCAGGCAGGTGCTTAGACAGTGGAGCTGTCCTCCCAGCCTCTGCCCTTATTCTTGCACAAGTAATAGCTCCAGGTCTCCTCTTGGAGCCAGACTACTCCTACTCCAGGGGAATGTGTCTTTCTGCCCATCCAGGCCTGGGTGCACGTGGGCAGTTCACTCAGCCGGGCCAGCTGCAGCCTCCACAGATCTTCCCGGGAGCCTCAGTGCTTGTCTTCAGTGTGTGGTTCTGGGGCTACTGGTAGGCTTATGCCACGGGAGGAGAGACCAAGGGCATGATTCAGATGCTCACAGCGGGCCTGGAGTGGAGCGCTGGAGTGGGCGTGCTGCCCTTGGTTCTGGTCCCTTCATCCTCAGCCCTTTGTTCCTCTCTTCCTTCAATTTTGTATCCTGTCCATGTCGTTACCATAGCTCCCAAATCCTTCTTTTGACTTTAGCTAATTTTACTTGTGTCTCTTTCTAACTATTGGTCAAACACAATTCGTAGCTCCTGAATTCCCCAAGCTCCCCAGCACTTTCTGGACCTTCGTTGCCCAGGTCTGGTCCTAACTCCTCTTTTCAGGCAGCGTCTAGCAACCTAGTCATTAGTCCTGCTGAACAGCCATTCTTTGAAACTTCCAGAAAGTCTCCAATTCACTTCCATTTCATTTTGAAGCTCGTAGAAACATGGCCGATGTTTCAATTTTTGCAGTCAGCACGGTTAGCCCATTGGCCAGGACCCTTGCTCCTTGGGAGTGGCTTGGGCGGGGGAGTCACACTGAAAGTACCGAAATGCTGGATAGCTAAGGGGACCCCAGTCTGTCACTGACCAGAGTTCAGAGCGGAGAGTGGAAGTGAAAGAATAGTGTGTGTACAGAACTGCTTGAAAAGCCAGGCACACTCAGACCTTTAGCTCACTCCAAGGAAGGTACTTAATGCAGGGTATAAATCTGGGCCATACTTCACACCTCCTATTCACAGGAAAACGCTGTTTCTTGGCAGCCATCACTTGCTTGTCAGCTTGATTTTTGTAGGCACCTGGATTTTTCAGGTCGCTGCCTACATGATACCTACGCATAATATCTGGGTTAGTCTTGGGATAATCACATCCCTTTTACTTTCAAATAATGCTTAAAATTAGTTGTTTCAACTTCGCTCCTTTTAAAAGTAAAGTAAACTATCCTAGGAAACCAGGTGGAGAGTGAGACAAAGAGTTCTGATCCAGTTCACAGCCCCTGTCTGTCTCAGAGCTGTGGCGTCATGTGAGAAACGCAGGGCACGCAGTGCTCGCTGTTGTCGTGGGACAGAGAGAGCTACCGTGAGCGTGGGGGCAGCAACTCCTGAGGTGGAGGCGGAAGTCAGGAGCTCCTCACAGCCAAGACGGCCTTTCGCGGTTGGCTGTGGTATCACTGGATCGCCAATTCTGCTCTGACCAGATCTCTTCTTTCCCACCACAGCCTTACCCTGCGACTTAGTGATACTGAGAAAGCTCTGGAGAGTAAATAGGTGTGGGGATAAGATGTTCCAGATAACGTGATGGTTGGGAATTTTACGAAGAACAAGGACACATAATGAAATGCACTCAGCAGTGTCCGTACTATGATTCCAATTTTTTGTTATAGATGTATGACTATGTATAAAATATACAGATGGGAAAGTTACTTTCTAGTCCATGAATAGGGGATCCATCAGCCTCGGGGAGAGAGGTGAGGACGAGTCCCCCCAGCCCTAGGAAGGAAGCAGTCCACTGCA